CCATCCCAGCATGGCAGCCCTTCTGCTTGCTTCTGTGCCAACCTGGCTTCCCCTGACACACCTGAACTAATGATCCCAAAACCACTTGGTTTACTCCATAACTCTGCACACGCTTTAACCTCTCCACAGATTTTAGGCAGTCAGGGGCTTTGTCCATCCTTCACACCTAATAGGTGCACAATTAATCCTCATGAAATGAAAAGATACCTAGCTTTACTGAAGAGTCCAGGACTGTGGAAACTGCATGTCAAATGGTGAGGAGTTCTTTTGTTGCTAAAAAGACCGTGTCTTATCCTGTTCTTGAACTACCTTCTGGGAATAGCCTCTATTGTCTACTTCTTCACCCGTTACTGTCTGAAGAGCATCAGGAACAAACAGTTGGTAGCTATTAAACGCTTATTCATTTTCTGTGAGGAAACGCACTGACAGGATTGAGAATGCCAGAAGCAGGTGTGCAGGTTACAATGTGAACTTATCACTGAAAGAGGATCATGGCCAGAGTGCTAGGATGCAAAGGCTAAGTTGTTCAGCACCTAGGAGACCAGAGATGCATGGAACAAGAGAACCTACTACCTAGTCAGCTCAGCACCCTCCATGTTGGCCTCCCGTGATCCCACAGGCTGCGGGGGGAGGGAGCTCATCTGAGGCCTCCGTTGTCCCTGGGGCAATGAACCAACAGGCACCCGCCTCCCAGCAGCCCTGGGACAGCACAGGTTTCTGGCTGAGCCACACTGGGCTGAGCTGAACAGCTGCAAGGGTCACGAGATTATTTGAGAAGACCAAAAGCTGTTCAAAGTCCAGGAATGATGGTGATTACTGGTCTGTTTAACCATAAAACCAGAACTCCAAAAGCCCTTCCAAATGCCTTTATCACCTGGTGCGGCTGCACACAGCTCAAGGGAGCACCCTCCCCCACCCCCATGGCCCCATCCATGCTTGAGTGGACCCCCCTCTGAGTCAGGGAGAACTCATGATGCACCTAGCAAAGGGAACAACCCCACAGGCAGGCCCATGGCCCATGTATTACAGGCTGTTTACCTTCTCATAGCAACTTATACCCTATACCCTACTCCCTGAGATAAAACCAGTTTCCAGGCAGGAGCGGCACACAGGGTGTGCTTGTACCTGTATCTTCTTGTACTCACACAAAACTTTGCTCGCTTCCCCTACTTTTGGTGGCCAATCTAATAGCTCTACACCCAGAACAGAGTTCACTCGGATCAGCAGTCATTATAAACCTGTGCCCAGCCTCCAAGCCTTGGCCCAGGAGCCTAACAATCAGATGAATGATGCCTACTTCTCTGTGAACTTGCACTTCAACAGGACTGTAAGAGGAAGATGGCATGAATGCTAGAATGCAAAGGGCCAGTGCCTGGGGAGACTGATGGTTAGGTACAAGCCTAGCTTCCTGGTCAGCACCCCCTTCAGGGCCTCCCATGATCCCACAGCTGTGGGACTCTGTCTGTCCACTGATAGACTTAATCTATCCCACTTTCAGCTGGTGATCAACTGGCTGCCATCATCATAGAGTGTGCTGTTCGACTGACACTTTATAAAGTGCACTTCTTCTTTGGGCCTCCCTGCAGCTCTTTGTGGTAAGAGGCATTAGCCATACGTTACAGGTAAAGAAGCTGAGACCCAATAAGTAAACAAGCTAGTTCCAAGTTCATAGCCAAGTGCGTTCACTGCCCTTCATACAAACTTCCAGTGCAGGAGGGCAACTCTGGGGACCCTGGAGGCATTTCCCTCTCAGGAGAGACATCACATAATCTGTCTTTATCCTTAACAGTCTCTGCTGGAACCCAGAGGGATAAGAGATACAGATGTGAAAGAGAGGGGGTGTGCTCCTATCAGACCAAGCTAAGGAGTCTTGGAGCCAGAGGCCAAAGATGGCACAGGTCTGGATGGCAACAGGGAGAGGAGGAATGGAGGAGAGGAAGCAGAAATGAGAGAGAGAGAGAGGAAAAGGAGAGGTATGAGGGAAGAAGGAAGGAGGGAAGGCAGGATGGGAGGGGCACAAGAGGGGGAAAGAGGAAAGCAGGTGTTTATGCCATGTTCCAAGTCAGGAGTGGCTGGGAACCATCGGTTAGCAACATCACAGATGTTCCCTCACAAGGAGTCAAGATGGCGGAGGGGGCCTCTCCCTCCACACAGGGTGACAGCATTCCCCCTCTCAGGGATCTAGTGAAGGAATTAATGTCAGAAACCTGGAACCTAGACCACTGTGTGACCTGCAGCAGGTTATTTCTTTTTTTTTTTTTTTGGTCTGGTCATGGGGCCTGAACTCTGGGCCTGGGCGCTGTCCCTCAGCTCTTCAGCTCAAGGCTAGCGCTCTACCACTTGAGCCACAGCGCCACTTCTGGCTTTTTTCTTTTTGCTTATGTGGTGCTGAGGAATCGAACCCAGGGCCTCATGCATGCAAGGCAAGCGCTCTACCACTGAGCCACCTTCCCAGCCCACAGCAGGTTATTTCTGAGTTTCGACTCCTCTATAAAATTGGGGTGCTACCACTTTACTGCCAGGTTCATGGGTGGCAGTAAAGATAAGCAAGACAGTCACTGTGGGCGCGCATGCGTGAAGACAAGGCCACAGGCTTGTAGACACTGGGCTCTAAGGCATCAGGAGCCTGGGAACTGGCCCGGCCTCGGTCTCTCTGCAAGATGATCAGGTCACCAGTTTGGTAGTCATTCCTGGAAAAGATGGGGGCATTATAAAAGACTCAATACTATCACTCATTGAGTCCTCAGGAATGACAGCCAAAGCTGAGTTTATATATAGGATGCGCTTTACCATTCCCCACTTCTTATCACTACACTTACATATTGCACTTTCCTTCTACTGAAGATTAGTCCTGTCCATTAAACCCTCCCAGACAGTGCAGGAAGTACCCAAGAACAAATGAGCAAAATGAGGAGCCAATGCATCAGAAGATGGAAGTGCAGAAAGCCCGGGGGTTTAGGGACCACAGCGCCCTCTGTTCTGCTTGCAATTTCTAGTGATGCCCTCTAGTGCGCATCAAGCAGCCCTCAGGTATTTGTTTTTTGTCGGTCATGGGGCTTGAACTCTGGGCCTGGGTGCTGTCCCTCAGCACTTCAGCTTAAGGCTAGTGCTCTACCACTGGAGCCACAGTGCCACTTCTGGTTTTCTAGTGGTTTACTGGAGATAAATCTCATGGACTTTTCTGCCCAGGCTGGCTTTGAACTGTGATCCTCAGATCTCAGTCTCCTGAGTAGCTAGGATTATAGGCGTGAGCCACTGGTGCTTGGCAGCCCTAAGGTATTTGGCACGGCCAAAACCTCACACTGGTCTCTTCTGTCCACTCAGGGGCTCTAGCACTGAGTCCCACCCTCTACCTACCCACGTAAGATTTAGCCACCACTGCTGACCCTGCCTTGACAATCCCACAGCTGGCAGAAACAGTGAGAGTACCTGGTCTTTAGAGTGCAGAGAACAGCAAGGGGACAGGAAAAGAAGAGAAGAAGCTTAAAGGTAAGCAGGCCCATATGGCTACACCAATGCCAATGGGCACCTCTTTGGACTTGGAGAAAGTAAAATGAAATGAGAAGTGAGTCAGAGATCAATCCATCATCTAGTAATCCATCATCTAGGGCAACCTTGTCAGGGCTACATTTCAGCATCTCAGGGGATGAGGTCAGAGTCCAACATTCTGCTCCCTCCCTCCCAAGGCATGAAAGATCAAAACAAGGTATCCAACCTACCACCAGGCCAATCACACAGAAAGAATTCCCAATAGAAGGCCTTGGTTTTGGTCCCCTCCAATCCCCAAGAGAACTGATTCCTGCCTCTGGGTTCCATCTCAACACATTCCCACTGGCTAGAGGGAGGGGCAGCAAGAGTTGGGGAGGTCCCTCCATGAAGACCACCAGACTCCCCCTCTATCTCCAACAGCAGAAAACAGAACCCAGCCTAGGGGACATGCACCATTGCTCAGCTGGTCTCAGTCAGCAGCAGGCAAGATCAGACTCCAGAGCATTTTTGTGCTAAAGCCACTGAGCCACTCCAAACCTTGGGGTGTTCACTGTGGCCTCTCATGGGCCATGCTGAGCTGAGCCTGTGGCTTTTGAAACAAAGCAGGATTCCCCAGCCCCTCCCCCTCCCTGAGAATGCAGTAAGATTTGGAATATCAGGATTTATTCTTAACAATTCAAAATGGATGGATGCAGTGAAACCCCACTTCTGTGAGATGCACCCCAAGGTTTGAATCTCTTCAAAATGAAGGAGGGAGTAGTTCCATTGTTCATTTTTCCAGAGACTGGGCCTCCTATCCCCTCTGCATTCAAAGCACTATTGGACTACGGTGCCTAAGGAAGGAGCGGACGTCTAGAGCCGCCTATGCAAAGCCTAGGAGGAGCTACAGAGGTGGCAGATACCTACTGTTGGTCTTCATGCACATCTATCCTGCAGCACAAGGTCAAAACAAGGGACAACTGAAGAGATGTGGAACAGAATCAGCACGATTCTCACAAGAGCAACATAAAAGGAAAACAGACATCAGTGCCTTGAAGCTCTGACCCCGGCCCCACCCCTTCCTTCTCTCCTCCAGTGGAAAAGGTTCTTATAGCCACATCCATTTTCACAAAAACCCTAGGCAAATACATTTCTTGACCTGACCAGCCTTGGTGTGTACCCGGGCCTCTAGTTTACAGTTTTCATATCAAAGCGGAGAGATAGTGGGACACCCATAGCCGGGGCCCCTCTAGACCACCCCCCTGCTCAGGGCTCCCCAACCGGGGGCTCCCAGTCATCCAGGCTCCCTCCTCCTACTCTCCACCCCTCCCACCTTCAAACCTCATGGGAAAGCAAGAGAGTCAAGCAGAGAGAACATAAAAAGGGATCATGCTTGTTCTTGTTAAGGGGAGAAACCTAATTGTAGTTCATCTCTAAAACTGACATTATAATAACTAAACTGGAGACAACATTATATGGCTTCTGTTTTCCTTTTCCTAGGAAGTGGATTGAAAACAGTGAAGAAAGCTTACCCATTTTTGAAATAGAGGACATGGGCTCTCTGAAGTCCTGTTTCTAGGAAAAAACCTAGTTCTTGATCGTGGGGAGCAGGGCCAGGCTTAGGGCTTCTGTTCTGAATATTAGTAAGTATTACCTAGAAGGGGAGAAAACCGGAAAACTAATCAGACGCATATCCGTGCCTACTTTCTTCAAAGGCACTGCATAGCTTGAAAAACCGACTTCCTTTTGCAAACATCACCTTGTGGAGCAGGTACCCAAAGGCAAGCATCGGGCTAGCACAGAAAATAACTTCTACTGGACAGGCGCAACCATGCTACTGAGCATGCGTGGTCCCCCTGGGTCTGAGATGGGAAACGCACGTTGCTGCTGAGTGCCAGTGCCAGAAGCATTAGAGGTGGCGTGCTGGACAGGAAATTGACAGGAAGGCTGAGTGACACAGAAGCAGTTCTCCGAAGAGGGAAGAGGGGAAGAAAGTCAATATCCACTGAGGGCCAAGGCCACCAAGAGACATAAGCCTATGGGACTCTACTGAGAGCTGATAAATGCCAGAATAGGCCCTGGCTCCGGAATTAAGCAGAAGGCAAACCCATCAGGCCATAGCACCTAGACCAGTAGAGCTGAGCATGGGTCATTGAACCCCCAGGGGAGAACTGAGAAAGCAACCTAGATTCCTTCTCTCCTTAAACTCAGCCTCTTACCAACAGATAATCAGGCTTAAAAGTTTTAAGTCGTTAGTGTTGCAAGAAACGCTTCTAACAAGCCAGGGGAAAGATTTACACATTGTGTTTGTTACAGTTTAGTGTAGATACATCAGCTACTCTCTTAAACTCACTAGTCGAATAAGTCATTTCTTACAGAGGAATCTACTTGTGACCCAGTTAAAAACCATATAACAGGGAGGGAAAAAGTGGGAGACAGTGAGGGAAGGGGCGATATTGTCCAAAACCAAATGTACTTATTTCCTGACTTGTGTAACTGTAATCCCTCTGTATAGCATCTTTATAATAATAATTTTTTAAAAAATTATCAGTTGTGGGGCTTGAACTCTGGGCCTGGGTGCAGTCCCTCACTCAGCTCTTCAGCTCAAAGGCAGCGCTCTACCACCTGAGCCATAGCACCATGTCCAGTCTTCTGGTGGTTTATTGGAGATGAGTCTCAGGAACTTTCCTGCCTGGGTTGGAACCCCAGTTCTCAGATCTCAGCCTCCTGAGTAGCTAGGATTACAGGCGTGAGCCACCAGCATCCAGCTAAAAATGAAAAATTTCAAAAACACCATACAACACACTGCTGTAATGCAGTAGCTCTTTTAAAGGCCAGTTTTTAGCCAAACCCCAAATATCCTAGAGGTCGGAAAATTATACTCCAAATACAGATGAAGTAATTGCTGGCTCTCTAACCCAAGAACTTTGGGGAGAAGGAAAGTAGAAAGCACCCCAGGATACTGCCATGGAGGAAGAAAACCTACCAGGATCTCACCAACAGCTCCCATGGCTTCCAGCCCTGCCCCACCCTCCATGGTGTTCCTTGTCTGGGGCCCTCATCTCCCCTCCACCCCAGATCCTCTCCACAAGCGTAGGAGATGCACAGGTCACTGTCTGGGGAGCTCTTCTGTTTTCTCTTATGTCTGTCATGAGATGACCTCATCCATTCTTATGAACTCAACTCCATATTTGACCGCTAGTCCAGACCTCTCTGAATTCCAGACTCATGCAGCCAAACACATAATTTGGAGGTCCTGGAACTTTCCAAAATTATCCTTCCTTTGCTTTTGAGCATAGTTCTTAGTTTTGAAATACCATGGCTACTTTAAAGCAAAAATAATTCAATATAGGCCAATGAAAATTAAGAACTACGTCAAAATCCTACCACACAGAAATAACCACAGTTAACATCTGTTGAACAACAATACAGATATCTTTGGGTACATGTATATCAACAGAGAAAGATAAAAATCATTTTGCAAAAAAAGAAGAGATATTATGTTTTTTATATATATATATATATATACATACATATTTATAGCAGATTTAAACTACATTAAATTAGTTAAATTTGACAGAAGAAACTGAAGTGCCATCAAAGTAAACACTCAATTCAGAAATACATTTTTATTCACAAAATTCATTAAGTTTCTCTCAAATTAAAAAACATGTTTTATTATGCGAATATACATGTATACATGTATGCACAGATACACGCAAAAAGTAGATCATTTTTTTTGGCCTACATACTTCAACTTTATACCGTATCTACTGGCACACAATAAAGAAATATGTTCTACTTTGCATTCTCCTTCAGCTTTCCATTTTTAATTACATTAGTATTTTTACATTTAAGCTTCCCAGTTTTGTTCTATTATTACTTTTATATATTGCCAGGTAAGTTTTTATATTATATGTATGTACGTATGCATATACATACATGAATATACACATATATTACATAAATATATACATATTCATCTATGGTTGTTTTATTTTCTTCTTCATGAACACTAATTGTGTGTACTGACTTTTCCCTCCCTCCCACTTCTTCTTTCCTCTCTTTCTCTTTCTCTCTCTCTGAGGATGAACCAAGGTTGTTTGGTACTAGCTAGGCAGATGCTCTATCACTAACCTACCCCCAGCCCTGTTCACTATTTCACTATTTTGATCATTGTAGCTTTGTGGTAAGTTTTGTCGGTGATAGGGCTTGAACTCTGAGCCTGGGCACTGTCCCTCAGCTCTTCAGCTCAAGGCCAGCACTCTACCACTTGAGCCATAATGCCACCTCCAGTTTTCTGGTGGGTTATTGGAGGCAAGAATCTCACGGACTTTCCTGTCTGGGCGGGCTTTAAACCATCATCCTCAGATCTCAGCCTCCCGAGTAGCTAGGATTATAGGCTAGGATTATAGGCGTGAGCCACTGGTGCCCAGCTAAGCTCTTCAACTTTATTCTTCAAGATTCATTTGGCTATTGAGTCACTTCAATTTTTACATTAATTTCTGAACCAGCTCTCCAGTTTTTACAAAAAAAAGATAATTCATTTTCATAGGGATTGGGTTGAATTTGTAAATAAATTTAGCAAGTATTGCCATTTCAACAAATTTGTCAGTCCATGAACATCTTTCCTTCATTCCAGTATCGTTTAATTTCTTTTAACAATGTTTTGTAGGTTTTAGCACATGTTTTTATTGAGTTGATTCCTATGTATTTTGTTTTTTGGATATTTTTCTTGTTGTTGGTCGTGAAGCTTGAACTCAGGGCCTTAATGCTGTCCCTAAGCTCTTTTGCTGTAAGATAGCACTCTACCACTTTGAGCCACAGTACCACTTCTCACTTTCTGGTGTTTAACTGCAGATAAGAATCTCACAGGGACTTTTTAGCATGGGCTAGGTTTGAACTGTGATCCTCAGATCTCAGCCTCCTAAGTAGCTAGGATTACAGGTGTGAGCCACTGGTGCCTGGCTTTTTGGATATTATTATAGGTGGAACTATTTTCTTAGGTTTATTTCTGCATTACTCATTGCTGGTATATAGAACAAAAGTGATTTTTTAAAAATAATTTGTCCTTGCTATCTTGCTGAGTTTTTTTTATCAGTTCTAATAGTTTTTTGTATGTGGATTTCTTAGGATTCTATATATTTAAAATCAGGTCATCTGAAAATAGTTTTATTTCCCCCTTTCCAGTCTGGATGCATTTTATTTCTTTTTCTTGCCTAACTACACTGGATAAAATGACTAGAACAATAAACAGTGAGTAGAAGTGACAAAAAAAAATCTTTATCTCATTCCTGATCTTAGAGGGACAGCATCCTTTCTTTCATCATTAAATATGCTGGTGATGTGGGTTTTTCTTAAGTGCCTCTCTATTTTTAATCAATCAAGTGTTTTTAAATAGCATATATTACTTCTACAAATTGATAGGTTACAGTATATCATTTTCAATACAAAGGCCTGCACACTGTCCCTGAGCTTTTGTACTCAAGGCTAGCACTCTACCAGTTGAGCTACAGCTCCACTTCTGTTTTTGATGGTTAATTGGAGATAAGAGTCTCCTAGGTCTGGCTCAAACTGCGATCCTCAGATCTCAGCCTCCTGAGTAGCTAGGATTACAGGCACAAGCCCCTGTGCTCAGCACCACACAATGTTTTTTTTAATAGTGAAAAAGTATTAGATTTTATCACATCTTTCTCTGCATCTATTAAAATGATCACATTCAAGTTTTTCTTTGGCTCACATAAAGCTTCTGCCTACTAAGATAATCAGATGGGTATAGTGGCTTAAGCCTGTAATCCTCTGCACTTCGGAGGCAGAGAGTAGGGGATTGATGCTGCAGGCTAGACTGGCCAAAAAGAAGTTTGAGAGATTCTATACCAGCAATGGCTGGGCTTAGTGGTACTCACCGTCATTCCCAGTAACACAGGGAAGCACACAGACCAGGCCTGCTAAGGCATAAAACAAGATCCTAATTCAAAAATAACAAATTCAAAAGAGAGGATGGAGGTGTTGATGAAGTGTTGGGCCATCTACCTAGCAAGTGTGAGGCCCTGAGTTCAATTTCCAGTACCTCTCACCAAAAAAGATGATCAAACTTATGGTTGGTTTATAGGCTTTATTATATTTATAGAGTTTTATATGCAGCATTAATGTTTATAGATTTTCAGGTGTTATATCACCTTTCATTCCTGAAATGAGTCTCTCTTGGTTATGGTGTAGTATCCTTAGCACAGAGGTTTCTCAACTTGAATAGAGTTAATTTTGATAAATACACTATAAATTGAAAATACCATGTCAGAATGCATTAACTATACCTTCTGACCATCAGAGCTCAGCCCTCCCTATTTTAAATGTGCTCAGACCTACAGTTAGGCAAAATCATCCCATACAAGGCCTGTTTTGTAGTAAAGTGTTGAGGAGCTGGGACGTTGGCTCAGTGGTAGAGTGCTTGCCTTGCATGCAAGAGGCCTTGGGTTCAATTCCTCAGCACCACATAAGCAGAAAAAGCCAGAAGTGGTGCTGTGGTTCAAGTGGTAGAGCGCTAGCCTTGAGCTGAAGAGCTGAGAGACAGAGCCCAGACCCAGAGTTCAGGCCCCATGACCCACACAAAAAAAATAATAATAAATCACTGAATGCATCATCTAATTTATTGAA